AACAATTTCGCAAAAAATCATTATGAATCTAACGAAAAAAATATTTCATTGTTTATTATTAAATTATTGTAAACTTGTCTAAAATATATTTAGTTGGATTATGCTAAAATAAATTGCGCTTGTTATAATAAGGCTAGGTACGTTTTCTAAGGTTCTTTTGGTACAAAATTAATCATTTTTTACATTAACATAAATAAAAAATATATAAAACGTGTAAGAGAAAAGTTTAGAAAGGACTTGATTTTGAGTTCTTGCTGATTGACCAGTCGTGCGCGCTCACTCCCTCACACACACTCCCTCACACACACTCCCTCACACACACTCCCTCACACACACTCCCTCACACACACTCCCTCACACACACTTCCTCACACACACTTCCTCACACACACCCTTTCCCCACACACACTCCCTCACACACACTCCCTCACACACACTCCCTCACACACACTTCCTCACACACACTTCCTCACACACACTTCCTCACACACACTCCCTCACACACACTCCCTCACACACACTCCCTCACACACACTCCCTCACACACTCCCTCACACACACTCACACACACTTCCTCACACACACACTTCCTCACACACACACTTCCTCACACACACACTTCCTCACACACACACTTCCTCACACACACTTCCTCACACACACTCCTCACACACACTCCCTCACACACACTTCCTCACACACACTTCCTCACACACACTCCCTCACACACACTTCCTCCACACACTCCCTCACACACACTCCCTCACACACACTCCCTCACACACACTCCCTCACACACTCCCTCACACACACTCACACACACTTCCTCACACACACACTTCCTCACACACATTCCCTCACACACACTTCCTCACACACACTCCCTCACACACACTTCCTCACACACACTCCCTCACACACACTCCCTCACACACACTTCCTCACACACACTTCCTCACACACACTCCCTCACACACTCCCTCACACACACATTCATTCATTATGAAGTTAAGGGAAATTGGTCTGACGACACTGGAGGACAGGAGGGTCAGGGGAGACATGATAACGATATACAAAATACTGCGTGGAATAAACAAGGTGGACAGAGAGAGGATGTTCCAGAGATGGGACACAGAAACAAGGGGTCACAATTGGAAGCTGAAGATTTAAATTAGTCAAAGGGATGTTAGGAAGTATTTCTTCAGAGTTGGTAGGAAGTGGAACAATCTGGCAAGCGATGTAGTGGAGACAGGAACCATACATAGTTTTAAGACGAGGTATGATCAAGCTCATGGAGCAGGGAGAGGGAGGACCCAGTAGCGGTCAGTGAAGAGGCGGGGCCATTAGCAGAGTCTCGACCCCTGCAACCACAATTAGGCGAGTACACACATGATATGCAAAAGTATATGCAAAACAACCACTGTGAAAGAATAGAGAAATTCCAAGCTCTTTCTTGGCTACTCACATTATCAAGGAACAATAAAAGTAATGCATATAAAGAGTCTAGACCACACATCACTATCACATCCCACAACTAAGCAACGCCTGACGCGCGACTCATAAGAAAGGGAACACTGCAGCAGGCCTGCTGGCCCAACTAGACAGGTCCTTCATGCAACCCACGAACGAACTATTCTACCCAAATACGTAAAGCTCTCAAAAACATTGATGAGAAAACAGACAGTCTAACTCTATCTTGATGTGAAGAATAATAGTTGAGAAAGTTGTATCAAGCAAGTCCATGGTCGACAGGAATATAATTGAATCTTGTTTCATATTATTATTATTATTATAATCAAGGGGAAGCGCTAAACCCGGTGGATTATACAGCGCCTGGGGGGGGGATGTGGAAGGCATTCAGGCTTAATTCGGGGAACTGAAGCACAGATTCAATTCCCTAAATCAAGAGCCCCTCACCAACATCAAGGAACCTTCCTTGAGGGGTCTTGTTTCATAAAAAGCAGTTTTGACAATATGAATATTTCCCTTGGTTTATATAAACTAGATTCATTTATAATTAATAGAATTTGTGAAGAATTTAATAATACATTGGACAAATAAATTTTAAAATTCTTAATTCTTTTGTAGAATAGTTTGTTCGTGGGTTGTGTGAAGGACCTGTCTAGTTGGGCCAGCGGGCCTGCTGCAGTGTTCCCTTTCTTATGAGTCGCGCGTCAGGCGTTGCTTTGTTGTGGGATGTGATAGTGAGGTGTGGTCTAGACCCCTTATATGCCTTCCTTTGATGCATTACTTTTATTGTTCCTTGATAATGTGAGTAGCCACGAAAGTGCTTGGAATTTCTCTATTCTTTGTTTAGCTTATTCTGAAATCACGTGTTTACTGTGATCTTATTGTATATATATATATATATATATATATATATATATATATATATATATATATATATATATATATATATATATATATAATGAATGAAGGAAAAGCTAACTCGTGAAGATCTTGCAATACCTTAAAATAATAATTGTAAATAATACGTCACGTTGAACATTTAAATATCAGAAGACTGCTACAGGGAATCACAAAGAATAAAAATGCACAATGCCGTGACTGAAACAATACACAAATATCTTGCACAAAGAAGAAACTTTTGACGACGTTTCGGCCATCCTTAGACCATTAACTAGTCACACTAATACTCGAAGGTAAGTGAGCCAATGTTTATACGAGAAGACTGCAGGGGCGGGAGAGGTAGACTATAAGAAGGAAATGGAGCTAGTAGTGGAAATAGTTGTAGTGGGTAGGGGGAGAAGTGATTGAGGCACAAATGGGAGAAGAGTGAAGCGATGTAGTAGAACAAGTGGAGGAAGTCTGAAAACAAGAACAAGAACAAACACTGCAAGAGAGCTAATGGCCCACCCTCGTGGGCCATTAGCTTTCGTGCAGTGTTCTTTTTCTTGTTTGTAGACTTCCTCCACTTACAAATTCAACTAATATTACCTCGCTTAGCTTCACTCTGACTTGTGCCACTACCACTTCTTCCCTACCCACTAAAACTACCTCTTACTATTATCTCCACTTCCTTCTTTAGTTTATTTCTCTACCCTCTTTCTCCCGTCCCTGCCCTCCTTTCGTACAAATACTGTGGCTCCTTACCTTCGTGTGTGACTAGTTACTGGTCCATGTCAGACCGAAACGTTGTTACAAGCTTTTCTCTTGTGCGGGTTATTTGTGTTATGCATCACAAATATTTCCTGTTTGAGAGACAAAACCAATTATGAGCGAGCACTGCATGAAGGTCCTTGGATGTGTCGATGTGCCTTGTGTAATAGCGGTATATTATAAATGAACTAGTTTGAGTGGGTGATAACGCTGAAGTTTGATATTCACGTCGGGAAGGCACTGTAATTACTAGTTAGTATGCCCAAGATGGCGATTGTGGGCAGGTTGCGGGGTGGACGAGTTTGCAGAGGCGATAGTGACAACCTCCCAGACTCACGCCACTTCACACACTAAACGCTCAGTTGCAACATTAATGGTAGTAATCCCCGGGACGAAAAATTTAAAGGTCAGAAGTGGCTGTAAATGGGAGGAGGGTGGTGGGTGATCGTGGCATATCCCCGAGGCGAAGCTGAACTGGCTGGTGGAATGTGGGCAATGGCGGTGACGTAAGCGCCTCTTGCTTGGGCTGGTCCACCAGCCGCACCACCTAGCTCCTTCAGTAGCTCACCAGGGACCATAAGTGACGGACGTGTCTTCTCACTCTCCTCTCACGGCGTTCACACGCGCGCTGGTTCTCAGGATACTAGTGATGCACGCGCTCATGAACCATTAGTGAATACGGACTCTTGAAATATACTAGTGAATACAAACTCTGGCTATCACTAATACTGATAGCAAGTGAAAGATCAAATAGCCTTGCAGCTTACCTTTACCTGGAGTACTGTAGACATGATAATGCTATCTGTGATATTTTGTATGTGATAGTTGATAAGATATATTTGCTTTTTGCCTGTGGTGGACGGGTATACAGAAAATTGAGTTACGATGTTGCTGGAGTTAGAACCAGTGTGGGCGTCAAGCAGCCACTGGGAGGTAAGATGTGCTCGAGACATCGGCGGTGGTGGTGGTGGTGATGAGGCCTTACTACTTCCAACATAACTATTGCCACAATTCATACAACTAACAACTTCGGTAATAATTATGGCTGCTTAAAATATTCTTACACAAACCCTTTCATATCGTACACAAGCGTACAATCCAACAATAGTATACACGTATAATGTATTCTTTTAACCTTGTATTAATATGGAAAGGATAGTTATATTTTAATGAATGTCTCTTATTATAAATGATTGAAGTCTCGTTGTAGTTGTATATTAGCATTATACTAATTGATAACACCATAATAGTGAGAATTTATTCGTGTGTGTTTGCTGTTGCTAGTTATTTAACTTTCCATCTTAACTTCCATAATCATTACCAAAACTCGGTAGTATACATTGCCAGTAAGTAGGTGATTTACCGTGCAACAGTTGGAAATCTTTATTGTTGAAATGTTCCGCTTGCTCAGCAGGATTCTTCAGTTGAATACAGAGGTGACTATAGATACTGGAGACAGTAAAAGTAGTGAAGTAAACGAGGTTCAGTCCCTCAGTCTTCAAGTAGTAATTTTGAGATTTAAGACCCCTCAGCCTTGATAAGTGTTCAGCTCCATAGCCTCGATTAATGTGATTAAAGCTAGGCATTGATAAGAGGCATGGAGCTGAACACTTGTCAAGACTGAGGGACTGATCATCTCAGAATTACTTCGCTGAGTGTGGTCACTGCTGCTGCTGCTGTCTTCAGGATCTGTCACCTCTGTATTTAACTGAAAAAGTCGGATGAGCAGACAAAGCATTTTGCAAATAAACTTAACTGTTGCTAAAGTTTTACCAATCCCAATAATCTTGCAATGCTTGCAGTACAGATTAAAGTTGTTGCAAATATATACCCAGTATTTTTGTGTAATATATTAAGAAGTCTTTAATTTTTCCAAACAGGACAGCGGGAGCCATTCCCAGTCTACTGAAGAAGAAAAGACTCCATCCTACCTGAGTTCTTTAACATCAGATGATGAGCCAACACGTTATGACCCAGTGCCACCTGAAGTTTCAACTTGTGAACTTGGCTTAAGGGGATCTCAGCAGGTACACACTGGTTATTTGTTTTATTAACAAAATTGGATTTATAAAATTGTGTATGTATGTATGTTTATATAATTTATTTATATTTTCTCACACTAGGTTGCCAACCTTTGCCATTGTTGTGTTTGGTATTTATTCACTAGAATTTTATGTCCTTTACTATTTGGCATCTATATATATGTTTTAAATATTACAGTAATTTAAAGATTTTTTAATATTTACCAAATTGCTTCATTCTTGCAGCGTCCATCAGGCTTCAGTGAATTAGTGGATGCCAGTGAACCAGTGACAAGTGATCGAGGCTCTTGGGGTATGCGTGGTGCTGCCCATACTGACCCTTTTCACCGAACTGCACCACGCTACAGGTAGCTATTTTGTTATAAGCCATCCGTATGTAAATTTTGTTTGGTATAAATAGGTAATATTAATTGCCAGCAAAAATAAGCTAAAGCTGTGTTTGGTTTAGTTACCATTTTGTCCTGGGCACATGTCGATTAGACTAGGTCTGTTTTACATGTGTGTGTTTGTACTCGCCTAGTTGAGGTTGCGGGGGTCGAGTCCGAGCTCCTGGCCCCGCCTCTTCACTGATCGCTACTAGGTCACAATCCCTGAGCCGTGAGCTTTATCATACCTCTGCTTAAAGCTATGTATGGATCCTGCCTCCACTACATCGCTTCCCAAACTATTCCACTTACTGACTACTCTGTGGCTGAAGAAATACTTCCTAACATCCCTGTGATTCATCTGTGTCTTCAGCTTCCAACTGTGCCCCCTTGTTACTGTGTCCAATCTCTGGAACATCCTGTCTTTGTCCACCTTGTCAATTCCTCTCAGTATTTTGTATGTCATTATCATGTCCCCCCCTATCTCTCCTGTCCTCCAGTGTCGTCAGGTTGATTTCCCTTAACCTCTCCTCGTAGGACATACCTCTTAGCTCTGGGACTAGTCTTGTTGCAAACCTTTGCACTTTCTCTAGTTTCTTCACGTGCTTGGCTAGGTGTGGGTTCCAAACTGGTGCCGCATACTCCAATATGGGCCTAACGTACACGGTATACAGGGTCCTGAATGATTCCTTATTAAGATGTCGGAATGCTGTTCTGAGGTTTGCTAGGCGCCCATATGCTGCAGCAGTTATTTGGTTGATGTGCGCTTCAGGAGATGTGCCTGGTGTTATACTCACCCCAAGATCTTTTTCCTTGAGTGAGGTTTGTAGTCTGACCCCCTAGACTGTACTCCGTCTGCGGCCTTCTTTGCCCTTCCCCAATCTTCATGACTTTGCACTTGGTGGGATTGAACTCCAGGAGCCAATTGCTGGACCAGGTCTGCAGCCTGTCCAGATCCCTTTGTAGTTCTGCCTGGTCTTCGATCGAGTGAATTCTTCTCATCAACTTCACGTCATCTGCAAACAGGGACACCTCAGAGTCTATTCCTTCCGTCATGTCGTTCACAAATACCAGAAACAGCACTGGTCCTAGGACTGACCCCTGCGGGACCCCGCTGGTCACAGGTGCCCACTCTGACACCTCGCCACGTACCATGACTCGCTGCTGTCTTCCTGACAAGTATTCCCTGATCCATTGTAGTGCCTTCCCTGTTATCCCTGCTTGGTCCTCCAGTTTTTGCACCAATCTCTTGTGTGGAACTGTGTCAAACGCCTTCTTGCAGTCCAAGAAAATGCAATCCACCCACCCCTCTCTCTCTTGTCTTACTGCTGTCACCGTGTGTGTGTGTGTGTGTGTGTGTGTGTGTGTGTGTGTGTGTGTACATTCGTACTCGTTTAATTCCTCTAATTGTGGTTGCAGGGGGTCGAGACTCAGCTCCTGGCCCTGCCTCTTCACTGATCGCTACTAAGTCCTCTCTCTCCCTGCTCCATGAGCTTTATCATACCTCGTCATAAAGCTATGTGCGGTTCCTGCCTCCACTACATCACTTGCTAGACTATTCCACTTCCTGACTACTGTGACTTTAAGAAATACTTCCTAACATCCCTTTGACTCGGTTCAGTCTTCAACTTTCAAGTGTGACCCCTTGTTTGTGTCCCCTCTCTGTCCACCTTGTCTATTCCACACAGTATTTTATATGTCATTATCATGTCTACCCTGACCCTCCTGTCCTCCAGTGTTGTCAGGCCAATTTCCCTTAACCTTTCTTCATAGGACAATCCCCTTATCTCTGGGTCTAGTCTTGTTGTAAACCTTTGCACTTTCTCTAATTTCTTGACGTGCTTGACCAGGTGTAGATTCCAAACTGGTACAGCATACTCCAGCATGGGCCTGACGTATATGGTATACAGTCTCTTGAATGATTCCTTACTGAGGTACGGGAACGCTATCCTTAGGTTTGCCAGACGCCCATATGCTGCTGCAGTTATCTGATTGATATGAGCCTCAGGAGATGTGCTCGGTATTATACTCGCCCCATTATCTTTTTCCTCGAGTGAGGTTTGCGGTCTTTGGCCACTTAGCCTATACTCTGTCTGCGGTCTTCTTTGCCCGTCCCCGATCTTCATGACTTTGCATTTGGCGGGGTTAAATTCCAGGAGCCAATTGCTAGACCAGACTTGTAGCTGGTCCAGGTCTCTTTGTAGCCCTGCCTGATCCTCAACTGATTTGATTCTCCTCATTAACTTCACATCATATGCAAACAATGACACTTCTGAGTCTATCCCTTCCATTATGTCATTCACATATACCAAAAACAGCACAGGTCCAAGGACTGACTCCTGTGGAACCCCACTTGTCACAGGTGCTCACTCTGACACCTCGCCGTGTGCGTGCGTGTGTGCGTGCATGCATGTGCACCTATTTAAGGTTGCAGGAGTTGAATGATAGCTCCTGGCCCCCCACTGTTTTGCTGGTGTGTTATATCCTTGGAGTTATTAAGTTTGCATAGTAATTTTTTTTATGTTTTTCTTTTTACTTGAAATGTGAAGCAATATGTACTGTATTTATCATGCCTCCAACAATCCACAGCCGCTTCGATGATGAGGACAGTGCAATACAAAGCAGTTGGTATCGCAGTGATGAGGATGACACTGTTATCTCGCCTCGAGTATCTCGGGCTTTCATTAATACCGGAGCACCACAAGGGCGAGATGACAATCCCCCTCCTGGCCAGAGTGCAGTGAAGATTCTCATGAAAAATATAAATTCTATTAAGAAAAGGATAAAGCGCTATGAAGAAGAATTTGAAGCTTCCTTTGGATACAGGCCTTCACACAGTGAAAAAATGAAGCACAAGGAAATAAAGAAATACATGAGTGAACTCAGCAAAGCCCGAAAAGAGCTCAAACGTAAGTTGTTTATTAAACTGAATAATTTACTTTATAATACAGGTACTCCTCACTTAACGACAGAGTTCCATTCCTAAGAATAGGTCGGTAAACAGATTTGTCGTTAAGTGAGGAGCCACCCCTTGCTGATATTTCAAGCATACTGTAGTGGGTTTGTCAGTCATCTTTAGATATTGTTTTAATGTCACCCTTGCACCATTTATAACATTTTTAGTATATTAACTCTTAGAGGGGTCTAGACCCCCAGTCTGAAAATTCCCCACAGGGTCCAAGAATTTTCCAAAAAAATTTTTCTTGTGAAATGATACTTTTTCTGAAGGTAATAAAATAAAAAAATACGAAATTTGATAAAAAAAATTGACAATTATGCTCGCAAATTTTGCTGTCAGCAATATTTACACATTGGTGATTTTGCCCACTTTAAGTCCTATTTTCAGCAAATTACATTGTTCCATTAGACCAAATCTTAACTATTTTGCTAGTATGTGTTTCATTTTATCTATTGAGCACAAGAAATTGCCCAGTCCATCATTTCACCTACCCAGTTAAGTGATTGGAAATTGGTAATTTGGCCAATTTCACAATTCAAAATATTCCAGTTTCAAAATAAGGTCCAGAATAAACAATGTAGGCATTCCAGGCACTAAAATAACATTTCCTCTGTTTTTTGGTTACGTTTCCAGGCTTTACAAATGTTCCATTTTCATTTTTTATTCGCATAGAATTTTTATTCACACAAAAAAAAAAAAAAAAAAAAAAAAAAAAAAAAACCAGAAGATTTATTGTTTTGCAATATTGTAATAATTGTACGAGTAATATCAGCACATTTGTGAATGTGCATTGCTCACCAGCGTGATGTGATTTGTTTACTCTTGAACATCGGCAAAAATCAAACATTTCCGCTACTTTGAGCTCAATTTCAACCTATTTTTTGTTACTTAAACCAATCAAAATCATTTATTTTTGTAACATCTTTCATTCTATCAAATGAGACCAAGAAACCGCGAATACAATCGTAAAAAATGCACGAAAATACACCACAGGCACTATTTTAATTCCAAAACACGGTCGCAGTATTTTAATTCCAAAACACGGTCGCAGTTTTTTTTCTCATGCACTGAATGCTGCAGGATTTTTATATGGTGCACATTTACCACATAGATGCATTCTCTCAAATCTAGGCCCAAATTTTCAGCTAGAGTGAGCTGAGCTCATGTAGTACTATGGCTTGGACCCTGGCTTCAAAGCTGTAGAACTACGGGACAAACCCTCAAAGGGTTAAAAATAGAACTAGGCATTAAAACGATAGTAAAATACACATACAGTACACTGGTTGGAGAGCTGGTCATAAGTCTGAGCGGCCATTAAGTGAGGAGTACCTAAGTGTATTTAGTGTTTAATAAATACTGAAATATCAGTTTCTAACCACCACTACTTTTATTTGCAGAAATGAAAGATGGTGTTGCAGGGCTGGTATCTGTACCAACAGTATTTCCACTGTCACTCCTTCGCTGTCAAGAGTCTACTAACCCAGGAGCAAGACCTGCTGGATCATCATCAAGTACTGCAGGAACACTGAGGCATGTGGAAGACAGGTTAAGGGAGAAGAGGTCTCTTTCAGGACGGCCAGCTGAATTAACAAACATGAGCTGTGTAGAAATGCAGGAAGAAAAAACAGCATTACAGAAAGCTCTTCTGTATTATGAAGCTATTCATGGACGACCCACAACTCGCGAGGACAGAGACTTGGTACGACCATTATATGACCGCTATCGCCAGGTTAAGAGGATTGTCGTAAGATCCTCGTCTGTAAGTATCTTAATTTTGTAATTTTGAGCAAAAGATTGTGGTGATAAAAATGTTATCCCATGTCATTAATTTTTATTGTAAGTCATTTATGTGCACTCTATAAATATTTAGCACAAATGTTTATTTTTGTTTCAGAGAACAAAGGAAAACCTTGCTGAATTGCCCCCCATTATTGAGCATGTGGCTATGGATTTTACATTGGCATCACCTCAACATCGTAGTTCCTTACAAGGAGATGAAATTGAAAAACTAATACCAGCAGCACCTAACACTCCTCCAGGGTTTGATTCTCCACCCACATTTGATAGTTCACAAGCAGCAGTTGCTCAGAGTGATGATCCTAAAGATGGTCAACGGTCAGTGGCACTGGGTGATCTCCATGCTCTACCTCTAAGTGAGCTGAGAGAAAGAAAAAAGGAAGCACGTGAGGAAAAGAAGAAATTAAGACGGTTGCTTCGAGAATATGAAGAGAAATTTGAAAGAGAAATGGGTCGTAAAGTGCAGAAAGAGGATAGAGGACCCATGGAACAGACTTATTTGGATTACAAACATGCAAAGGCAAAGTTAAGGCTCCTAGAGGCTCTCCTATCAAAGCATGAACCCCTGAAGGTTTGATAGACTTTCAGCTAAACTATCAAGGTCAGAGCTTATTTTTTGGAAAAAGTCAATATTTGTATTTTGCTTACAATTACACTGTAAGCTTTCAATGCTGTAACTAGGTTTGTTTTGGCTTTCTTTGATGAGATTTGTAAACTGCATTCAGAGTATTCTCTACAGATTCTGTATTTTGAAGTGCAGCTGGTGTGATTGTAATGTGTAAAAGGGGAGGCATCCCAGTCCATGTTTTGTGCATTGTTGTTCTGACATGCGCGGGTAATGCATGAACTGTGATAAGTTGTCGAAGTTGCCAATATGGTAAACTAAAGAATCCATAGTTTTGAATATAATATTAACTATAGGAAAAATAAGGTCTCACAAATACCTATACAAACTCTTGTCATGGTTATTTTTTATATTCAGAGCACTTTGGATTTGGGAACTTCATGATCAGAAGATGCTTCTGCATCCTTCAAATTTTTTCTTGGATGCTCTGGACTCGAATGCATTGAAGCTTCCAAATATACTTTATCCATATAATTGCTGAACTGTGCTAAGTGTAAGGTACCTGAATTTAGCATTAAGGTACAGTAGCTGTTTGGACCCTGGGGCATGATATCTTTGACTAAAGTATGTAAAAGTTGTTTCACAACACTACCCTTGCCCTTTGTTTGAGACATCTGTAAAAAGTCTATAATTGTTGTTTGCTTAAGGATTGCCTTTTAATAAAAAACTATTTGCCTTCATCAAAAATAAGGGCATGCAAGATAGTGAAGAGCTCTCCATGTGGTCCGATTATGCACACAGTGTTCACTTGAGTTATACTTGTATTTTGTGGATTTTGTATTGCAGACTTAATAATGTAGACTCGGAATTTTATCATACATATATCCCCAGGAAGATTTGTTGGGCTACTTGACCAATATTTGTGTATATCTTCACCTAAGATTCCTGTGGTATGCATTTAAAGGTGTGTGTGTGCTTGTTATAGGCAAAACTACATGTTGCCTAACCACTTGTAGGGAATGTGTAGCCAATTTTGTATGTCTTCATTCCTGTAAACTCAATGCTGCCTCATTTCAAACACTTGAGGCAGTTTGTGTGCCGCATATTCAGTGTATTTAGATGTACTGCACACAAGTATTTGCCATCTGTTAGCTAAGATGCATTTGAACATTGTCAACTGCATTTCCTTTCTTGAGTACATTGAGGAACCAATTTCTTGTGAATGCAATTGCATATAAGCAATTAGTAGTTTACTTTGCAAGCAGCTGAACTTCACTAATACATAGCTAGCAGCTGCCATGGCAGATTGTCAGTTATAGCCATAAGCTTACTGTATGCTGAAACTGCTTTGCAAGGTAATAATCAGGAATTCTGTGCAGTTTAATACTTAACTGCTTTTTACAATATACATGCAAGTGCATTCACGTTTAAATTCAGAGTGAACTTTTGTAACAGACTGTAGTGAAATGTTTGCATTCACAATTAGACTGAACTAAAAAAAAAAAAAAAAATTACCACTGGTGACACATTATCTGAGTGTTCTTGCCTCTGTAGTTCATTACAGCTTCAGACTGCCTGTTGTTACTTTGATATGAATAGTTAGATGAATAGTATTATCATATATATATATATGGTTATGTATATTAATGACCTTAGATTATAATATGGTCCTGTACCTGTTAGTATATTTATGGCAGACAGTTACTAGAAACTATTACTTCCCATACATATGAGGATTTATTAATTGTAGTGTTTGTTCAGAGTAAAAAAATTGATTTTACCTTGAGCCTCACTTTTCAAATGGTTTAATTTTTTTTTTTACTTAAAAATGCTCTAGTTATGTTCTGCTACAGTCCAGTTGCTGATTAATTTAAACTAGCTGGCAACAAAAAGTTGTGAAACTTCAGGCTTTTATAATAGTTTGGACTTAACCCTGGTTAATTTATTTTTAAGGCCTTAAAGAATCATGTTTCCATTTAAATTTCTTTCATATCTGTGGGATAGATGAAGCTGCAAAAGTTTGTTCACATAATTGAGAAATGATGCAGGAACAAAAATTTTGAAAACATGTTCAGCTATTTGCTCTAAAAGTTTGATTTTGAAATAAGTTGACAATTTTTACACTTCGTATATTCCTCAGTTAAAGGCTAATGCAAACAAAGATGCTAGCCAATTTGCATATTTTTTTGGTAGGAGGGGGGGGTGGAGAGGCTAGGAATTGGAAACGTAATGTTAAGGCTTTACAAAAAGACTGTTTAAACTTTTTATAAACATTGTGTAATTCACAAATGGTGATGCTGCCATTACAGCAAAGCCTCAATAATCCAGCATTCCTTAAAGCAATGTTTATACATTTTCAAGACTTTTGAAAGACAAAAGCTTCAGGGAGAGGTCCCTAATGGTCAGTGACTAGAACATTTAATCCACATAATAATGAAATGTTACCGTCTAGCAGTATTTATTGGGTTTATCGAGGTTTTACTGTATTTTGAAGTTCCTATCTGGACGTGGAAACTGCATCAAGATTGCAAGACCCAAATTACATTGTTAAACTTAATAGCAGATTTAGACAAGTGAGGGAATCCTTTGATTTTAATAATAAAAATTGATTTGTGCATTAAAAATTTTTTTTCAAGGGATAGGCAATTTGGACCATTTTCTGCTAAAACTTTTTTTTTTTTTTTAAATCATTAAAAGATGCCTATCCCTATTTTTATCCAGAATAGTGTTGTGAAAAATAGTGGAGATTGATGTTCAAGCAGATCATGGATATATGCTTAGTGTCTTGTGAATGTGATGCTGGATACAGTAGACAGTTGTTACAGAGGTCCAAATGAAGAAAAGTAAACTCATTTTATATGGATTAACCACACAATAAAGTAAAATGAGCAACTTTCAAGGCTTTTATTATTCTTGTATTAATTAAATGTTAAACTCAAATCAGCATACTACCAAGGTAGATTATTATTATTATAATCAAAAAGAAGCGCTAAGCCACAAGGGCTATACAGCACCAAGGTAGATAAAAAACTGAAAGGAGTTTGCATGGGCCAGTAAGCCTGCTGTAGTGTTCTTTAGCTCCTGATGTGTCAGAGGTTATTCTATACAGCGAAACCCTGGATTTCGGCAGTAATCTGTTCCAGGTCAGCCTAAATATGAAAAGGCCAAGAACCAAGGTAATATTTCCCGTAAGAATTAATGTAAATACAATTATTCCGTTCCAGACACCCAAAAGATATTTTTTTGAAGATTAACTAGTTTCACATACAGAAAAGGAGAAATAAATATCAAGCACAAAATTTAAAAAATGAACATTACATACCTTTATTGAAGGTGGGGAGGGGAGAGATTATTATAATCAAGGGGGAAGCGCTAAACCCGGAGGATTATACAGCGCCTGGGGGGGATGTGGAAGGCATTCAGGCTTAATTCAGGGAACTGGAGCACAGATCCAATTCCCTAAATCAAGATCCCCTCACCAACATCAAGGAACCTTCCTTGAGGGGAGAGAGAAGAGAGCTTATGGAGGGGGATTTCCCTTCCAAACAATAAGAACTTCAGGTATCAAGTCCCTCTCTGGGGTTACTTCCCCTTTGTTTTTTACTGGTACTAGCACCAGCGTGAGTCGCTGAACATGTTGCAGATATGGCTTGTTTGAACTTTGTCAGGGTGATATTTCTCCACAAAACTTGGCACCTCCCTCCCTCAACTGTGGTCTGTTGCTGATGAATGTCTTGCAGCTCTTCAGTGGTTAGCTCTTCCACATTCTTGCCACTCACATCCAACCCCATGGACTTCCCCAAAGCCACAATAGATTCCACAACAGGCAGAGGGTTGACAGGGTCAGCTTCAAACCCTTCAAAATCCTTCTCTTGGACACATTCTGACCACAATTTTCTCCAAGCAGAGTTCAAAGTCCTGAAAGTCACTCCCTACTTAGCCTTACCTACAATGCTTATGCAATGGAGGATATTGAAGTGATTCCTCCAGAACTCCCTTAGGGTCAAGTGTCCAAGGTCACTTCAAAGCACCTTTGAAACATTGCTTTTGTGTAGAGTTTCTGGAGTTAGAAATGACCTACTGGTCCATAGGCTGGATGAGAGGAGTGGTGTTAGGAGCCAAGAACTTCACTGTTATAAAACTTAAATCCATAGACAATTAGTCTACCAAGTTCAGAGGATGAATAGGAGCATTGTCCAGTACCAGGAGGCACTTGAGTGGCAATTTATTGTCCTGGAGGTATTTTTTCACTCAGGACAAACACTTCATGGACCCAGTCAATGAAAATTTGCCTTGTGACCCATGCCTTATTAGCTTTCCACAATTTACTCTTGATGATATTGTTTTTCTTGAACAATGGGATTTTCAGAGTGATACACCAGTAAAGGCTTCACTTGTGTTACCACAGAACAAAAGAGTAAGCCCATCCTTCATAGGTTTGTGTCCTTGCAGTGCCTTTTGCTCCTGCTTGATGTAGGTCCTCTTTGGCATTTTCTTCCAAAAGACACGTTTTGTCACAATTGAACACTTGTTAGGGGAGGAATCCTTCAGCCTCTACATACCCCTTGAATTCATGCACAAATTCTTCGGCTGCACATTTGTCTGAACTTGCAGCTTCACCATGCCTTACAACACTGTGTATGCCACTACGCTTCTTGAATCTGTCGAACCAGCCTCTGCTGGCCTTAAATTCACTAACTGCAGCATTCATTCCAGGCATTTTCTTTTAAAAGATCCACATGCAACTGCCTTGCCTTTTCACAAATGATCGACTCCACAACACTATCTCCCACATCTTCGATTATTGATGACCTTTGTTTCATTAGCATATTTACCCCTTTCCCAACATTAGCTTTCTCAATTTCTACTTTCTTTACCAGGATGGAAATGATTGTTGATCTGGATTTCCCATACATCCTGGCAAGCTCCAGGACACATACACCACTTTCATACTCTGCTACAATTTCTTTCTTGAATTCTATTGTGTTTCTCACTTTCTTTACCAAATGGCTGGCACTAGGAACTTTCTTTGGGCCCATGGTGGCTTATTTTGCAGTCGCACTCAATAAACAACCACAAAAAACAATAAATTATAACGAAATGTTTGGATGAATGCGTGGAATGTTGCTCACTCGCCCAGACACAGCCAGACTGATTCACGAACGTGGGGGAATGGCGGGTGGATGCATCCAATATAGCCAATTTCCGAGTTGCCGGTTGAAATTTGATTTGGCCGATATCTGGAGTTCCACTGTATTTGTGTGTGTGCTGTATGACCCTTGTAGGATTAGCGCTGCTTTTTTTTATTATAATAATATATTTCTGTATAATACAGCAGCATATTTATTAGCCTGCATTGCGAGAATTGTCTAATTCCTGTTTTAATTTTCCATATCCTATTGGACTGTCCTGTCTATCAACGCGCACGCATAATTTTCCAATGTCACCGCTCTAACGCCTGCAGGAAACCAGGCTAACAAATCTGTATTTTATATGGTAATACATTCTTTTACAAAAATATAACTTGAAAGATCAGGAGAGAAGGAATAAACATGATTGATAATCAACAGACTTAAGGGAAGTGTCTTAGATTCATGGGGGGTTCTTGAGCCTATGAATTAGTTTTGGTCCCACTGTTGTTAAATATGATTTCCTCCCATTTCCCCAGGTACTGTTTGATTCCTATGAGTTCAGTGCTTCTTAAGTTTAACTTGAACCACCCTAGAAAAAAATCTTAAGAGGTAGTATTAGAGGGAAAAACTACCCAGTTTGGAAAGGACAGCAAGAGGACTGGCAATTCATAAAAGAAATGGCTAAAATTAAATTTAAAATGCATACAAACATACTACCATTATGATAATCATGGAGAAATTATTATAATAAAAAAGAAATCATGGAGAAATGTTAAACCCATAAGTCATACAACACCTGAGGAACGGGAGGCAATGTGGTTTGATCCCAGAAAGGGAATATGTCATATTTTTTTTGATCAAGAGCCCCCTTAGTGGCACCAAGGCATCTCCCTGGAGAGGAACTATTTAAAATGCCTGAGGAAAGTGCCTTAAATCCCAGTGAGGGGCTTTTAGTCTAAGGATCTGGACTTTCCTCCTTTTCCTTGAACCAATCCTGATTGATTCCTATTCTCAGGTGGTGGTATATAGTACTTTCCCCATGCTGCACTTTTAGATAAAAAAAAAAAATAATTGATAGGCACTAAACTATTGAAGATACTACTGTAAGGTACCACTACACTCCATGACTTAATAATAATCCTCTTCCCTCTTGCTGCCCAATACTCCTGCACCCTTCCCTGCCCTGCTGGACTATATGACCCCTGTAGGTTTAGCACTTCTATTTGATTATAATGATACTGTAAGATAACTATTATTGCAAGTCCCCTTAAGGGAGGTTTTTGATGCCAGGAATTAAACTTGCTCTCCACTTCCTTGTTATAATAAAAAAAGTGCTAAACCTACAAGGGTCATGCAGAGCTGCTGGGCAGGGAAGGATGCAGGGATACTGGGTAGCAAGAGGGAGAGGGATGATTATTAGGTCATGGAGTGCAGCAGGGTAGTGGATAATGCAGGGGTAGAGGGTAGCAAGAGATTGAGGTAGAAAGGGCTGTGAGGAGTACTAGAGGCATCACCAGAGTTTGTGCAGTAAATCAGTTGCTGTGAAAAAGTCAATGAGGGAGTCTGGGTTAAAGGAGGGTCCATCAGGAAGAAGGAAAGGTAAAGTAAGGGCAGTAGAGAGGTGACGACGGAGGAAAATTCTGCGGGCTCAATGATAGAGTGGACAGTCCAACAGAATATGGCTAACAGAAAGTGGAACCTGACAATTCTCACCGAGTGGAACAGGGTGCTTCTCCATGAGATACCCGTGAGTAAGACGAGTGTGGCCGATGCGAAGATGAGAGTAGTCTCCCAACCTCGACACTGATGATAAGACGGCTAGAAACCTATACTCAAGTTTAATAGAATGTAGTTTATTATGGAGCAGATCAGACCAACGTTGTTGCCAATGAGTGGGAAGGTGGGTAGCAATTACAGCAAAATAGTCAGGAGTGGAACACCTCTATACAAAACTGGAAGGTCATGTACTGCTGACAGCGCAGCAGTGTCTGCCTGTTCATTGCCCTGTATGTCAACATGACCGGGGACCCAACAAAAAACAATATCTTTGTGCTTGCTAGAGATATGGCATAACCAAAGTTGGATACAAAGAATCAAGGGATGAGGTGTATCAAATTTTCGTACAGCCTTTAAAGCACTAAGGGAGTCTGAAACGACCACCAACGGTGACACAGGCATAGATGCAATATGGATAAGTGCTACGAGAATGGCATACAATTCAGCCGTGAAAATGCTAGCCGGGGATAATAAATGCCCTCGCACGATGCTGTCCAGAAACTGCTGCGAATCTGATGCCGTCAGAAGACTTGGAACCATCAGTATACACTGCGACGGCATGAGAATGAGATTGGAAGTGGTTAAGAAAAAGAAAGCGAGAAGTCACAGTAGGCAGCTGGGATTTCATGCATGGCAGTGGGAAAGAACAGACAGGAGTCATCGGAACTTCCCAAGGGGTTAGGGAAAAGTTAGATGCTACATGAACATAGAAAGGTGGTAAATGAAGAGAAGACGAGCGAATGTAGGTGAAGAGAAAAGGGATGCAGTAAACAGGGGCAACGAACAAATAAAGAACGTCTATTAACATCACTGACTATCCTATACAGTGGACCCTCCCTTTTCGGCATTCATCTGTTCCGGAGAGTCTGGCAAAATGTGAAATTGATGAAAACTGAAACCATTTTCCCCATATGAAATAACGTAAATCCAATTAATCTGTTCCAGACTTCCAAAAGTATTAACAAAAAAATTTTGTAAAGATTAA